TCACATCCGATCCTCAAGCACTACTCGTGCCTATAGAATCAAAACGGCCTTTGTTTGCTAGCATACCAGTGAAGCTCCTAGGGATGAAATAGAAACGTCAGGAAAACATTACCAAGTACATTTAGGGTTATGAAGTAGGATTACACCCATGACATCGCGCATTCAATGACGATGATTCACATGTTGTGCGCAATGCAACAGTCCAGTTGCATGGTCTACCGAACCCGCAGCACTGACTCAGGGAACCAGCATATCTATCACAAATTTAGGGGGAAACGTCACGCCAATTTGTCTTGTTCACAAGTCGCTCCTCCTTAGGCAAACAAGGAACATGCCTTCACCCAATTGAATATAATAGTATTTGAATAGATCCGTGTCAGTGTGCGGTAAAATACATATTTCAACGACTGTGAAGAAAGACATCACTTAAGCATTCGGATGCTTAAGTGTGCGTATGTTCATAAGCTATTTAAGGACACAGATCCAGCATTAGCAAAGGGCACATCTACTGATCACCTTGCTGAAGCCAAATTGTAGCAACTTTTGACTTCATTTATCCCACATTCTCCTGATTTGTGCCCAAGCATTCTGGTTTTCTACTTGCAGTGCTTGACATTTATGCCTGACAGTAGTAAATGCATTGAAACATCTGCACAAAAAAGCACACCCTAAACAAAACAGAAAAGTACACTTTCAAAGTAGCATCGTGAAGCGTGATACCAGCCTCATTGTACCATTATGCATCTGCGACAGCTTTTGTAGTTCATGAAAATCCTTGCTGTATATTTCAATTTTAGCTCAAATAAAAGCGCCCCCTCGATGCAGGGAAATGTCTTCACTTGGGGTTTCGGAGTTTTCTCGTGCATCAGCTTTTGGCACCCACAAATCAAATAAGGCATTGGAGTAGAAAATTATCGGCAATATTTAGAGAAATGTCCTCTTTGTCACAGACATTGTAATAATAGCAATAGTTTGCCAAAACGATGTACAAGTGAAGTGTCGAATAACGTACTGTTAAATATCTGGTTGGCCGGAGGTGACCCATACGAATGTGGTAGTTTGTGGCAAATGTTACCCCTAATTCTTCAGAACCGGTTGCGGCCGAAGCTAAAGCTGGACACTAGCATTATAATCAATCACTGTCAAATGGATTCACCTTACGTGTGTAGTGTCCTCTACCATCTTCGTAGGTACTTACACCCAGTCAAGAGGCAGCGCCGTTATTACGGCAAAAATACATCCAATGTGGTGATGCTCCAGAGGCACCAGTTGGTGTAGACAGCAGACTCGCCCAAATCACGTGCTCTGGCTACTACTCAAAAGGCCTCTACTCTGGTCAAAAGGCGATAGGAGACTGTCTAAGCTATCGAAATTGTTGTTTTGGGCTCACGACACTTTGCTTTGGTCTGATTTTAGGTACATATAAAAGACAAGAGAAGTAACAAATTCATTTGTCAGAATGGCTATTTTTAGCATCACCGGCATGTTAGCTGCTGCAGTATAACTGATTCAGCTGCTCCAAGACTAGCATGTAGATCATCTCTCGCTGAATTTCAACACCGTCAATGAACACTCCAAAGATTCTCACATACAAACCCCCTAATATGTCTTACTGATAACCGGCTTTACATATGTATAACAACCCCTACCGCAAGAACTTTACTTGTGGTCTTTGTAAGTACACATCAATATTCGTGGGTTTGAGTTTCACCCCTCCTTCATGTTGGAAACGTGCTTTGTTCATCAATACACACCCACTACCACTGTTGGCCACCATGTCATTTTGATTAATGGACTGGCCCAAGCCACATTAGCATCGGCCATCGGTGCCTGCGATAAGGGAACAGTACTGCTGTGGTAGCATCAATTTTAAAGCTGAAAAGTCCAACGTCTCGAATTAGCTTAAGTGGTCATCGCACAATTGTATTTTCCACCATTGGCGGCGACGCTTTCGTGATCCTGATTGCTCAAGATACGGATCTACTTTTACTACTCATTGTTTGATTATTTCAAGCATTCTATTAGAATACTGCAGCAAATAATATGGGTCGGAAACCAAATTGCAGCTTGGTTCGCAAAGCCATCGCGGCACAACTGTGTGTAACTGCATGGTAGAGGTTGGTTCTTAAAAAGGGCTAAGCTAAAGGTGGGGCGCCATCTCCTTCCCTCCTATCAAGCCTCCTTCCATTGCAGTTTAGCAGTAGATAGACGTGGATTTGGTTAAATCACAAGGTATAAACTCGGTGCACAAAGCAATCACCAATTTTTGTCGAGTGGATCGGAGAATCTTTGAACAGTCAATACTGTAAGTCATAATTATCAATAAGCCATCGAATCAGTGAAACGTAATCGTTTGGCTACTTTCAGCCTATTTTGGATCATCTAGTCAAAGTCCATAGCAGCAGTTTGATGAAAAAGCACCAGAAGCTATTTGATGGGAACATCGCAAATTGGAGGAAAGTCTTTCGGCTCTCCTGGACTACCAATAACAAGCTGAATGGCAATGAGTTTTAATGAACATCTACTTTCCTAATTTTGCACTTTCGTGGGTGCTAATCCATGATAGCAGTGATTTCCGCAAAAGGTAACAACATCTGAGAGAGAGCCCAAAACAGCACGTTAGCAACACGTTCACCTACACCGTCACATTTGTGTGACGATCCGAGTTTCTTACCTCAGTCCGCACATCACATTTACACACGACACATTTAACCAGATTTGCAATAATGGGTACTATATTCCTTTGGGCGCTTTGTTATTTTCCTCTTGTTCGAAGTACCAATTCAGAAAATGCATCAATTAGGCGATGGAAGGAACAGGGAAAACGTCACAAAGCGCCTACTATCAGCAATATTTCCTCCATCAATCGATCCTTTGTATAACAGGAACAGAAAACCAACGGCATGATTGTCTTGTGAGATTTATGGGCCACTACTTGACACTCCACTCGCGACGCACCTTTAATGCACAAATTCTGCCACTGTGATTACAATAGAAGCCTAACAAATATGCGGTCGCATGTCAGCACTTGCCTACCCTGAGTAAATTGATCGCGAATTACCAGCAGACTTTCGTCAGAGTGCAACTTCTTGCATTGTTTACGTGGCCTACTCCATGGAAATGATTTCTTTGTTCCTCCGTGGATTTAGGAATCACACGAGAATTTAATCACTCCGAGTTAACAATACAGCTTAGTCTAGTTTCTTTTTCTACTACACCAACAATTTTCGACTAATTATTCACCACCTTAACTGACTTTGCTCAATAAGTAATAAATAAGTGAAATTATCATCAAATCAAGGAAATCCCACGCCTACTCTGTCCTACCTATGGCTAACAATTTGGTGCA